TGCCTTGCTCCTCACGAAAAACCATCGCGATAGCCACGACTACTTATGACTCGTGAGAGTCACTGGTCGTCATGAGCATCTCCGGACTAGTCCACAGAAACTAGACATAGTCTTCGGACGCAACGGTTAGTCCGTGCACCTTGGTCACGCCAACCCGCAGCTGCCAGGCAATCGGTGCACCGACATAAGTCGGTCAACGCCTGGCTGCCCGCAGCTGCAGTAGGGCATCCAACAGCAGGGACATGGGCGATGAGAGTTGGGAAGGGAGGAGATGGGAGATGAGAGATGGGAGATGGGAGATGGGAGATGGGAGACGGCAGATGATGCCGGGGGATACAGACGGGACGTTGCTAGAGAGCTCTGCTATGTGAGGGTCAACCAAGGAAAGAGGGGGCGGGAAATGGGAGTGAGAGGGGGAAAATGTGGAGCCCCAGTAGACATCTGAAGAGAAATGAAGAAAGCAGAGAGTATGCCATGCATGCATACATTCGTGTGGGCGTGAATGAATGTGAAGATGCATGCCGGAATACGGAAATAAACTGCATGCATCTTCACATTCATACGGAATGCATGCGAACAGCCAGACTCTCAACACGCCAGATTGGCAGAGACATTGTGTTGGCAGGCATGCACTGCATGGTAGCATGGTGGGCTTTGCTAGTCAACATAAGTTACCATGCATGCAATAAGCCTCTGTTCATGTTACCCTAACCTCACTGTCACTCTCTCTATCTGTGCTCTGTCTGGCAACATTAACAGCTCTGCAAGCATGAAAGTCACAACAGACGTGTTATGTGCATTCATGTCTGTCTGTTGCTGCCAGACATAGCACATCTTACTATCTCTGCTGACGTCACCCTGACCATCGCTGGGGTGACACCAACTTCAGTGTCGATCTCAGCTGACGTCACGCTGATAGACATCCCTCCCAGTACGTCCACTATCTCCATCAACAGCCCCAGCCAATCCGCTGCCACCACCCTAAACTCGCTGGCTGTGCTCTGGCAAAATTGGAAAAGGTGTGAGGGACAGGCATGTGGCAACGCCTGTTGCGGGATGAGCAGCTGCAGGATCAGACATTGAGGGACATACAAGGCCCTGTCCTGGCATGGCCTATCTAGGAGAGGAGAGCGTTGGCAGTTTCACGGTTGGTACCACGTCCACCATCGCCATCAGAAGCCCTGGCCTATCTGCTGCCTACATCCACCCTCCGCTGACAACCGGGGCAATCTGCGAGAAGTGTGAGTGACATGCGTGTGGCAACTCCTGGTTGGATGAGGGAGGAGCATGCACGAGTAGAGTGAGGCGAGGGATAGGACGCACATCCACTATCTTTGTCTGCACCCCTAGCCGTGGGATGTGCAGCGAGGGAAAGAGGGGGAGGGGGAGGGGAGACACGAGTGAAGAGGAAACGAGTGTTGATCGATACGGTGGCAAAACATCCAGTATTGATCCGCCAGCATAGCCGGACTGCCGCTCGCACCCTCAGGTCACTACCCGTGGGGTCTAGGAGACAAGTCTAGGATGGGGCGATTGCTGGCTGCAGGGTGGGATGGGGACGGAGAGACGAGAATGGGGGGAGAGGAGCAGGCCTCGCACACCCAGCAGGCGTGGGCGTTGTGTGGTGTGACCCCAGGTAGGCTGGCTGGCAGTTCTGCCAGCTGTATCTTTTGGCGTGGGGGGGAAGGGGGGGGCGAGAGGTGAGGAGTTACAGCCAAGGTTGGAACTTGGTCGGCTAAGTGACTAAGCGCATCTGCAGCCCACGTGAGCAGCGATTAAAAGGGCGGGGAGCGAACTACTCGGCAGGCGGGCACAGCCTCACGATGCAGTTGAATCTGTGAGTTGTGGAAAACAAGGTGCATCGGTACAATAGCAAACCTGTACACCTTCCCACTGATGGCACTGATGGATTCGCCCACACCCGTGTATACCCTCCCAGCATTCCCTGCCACCCTCCCGCCATTCCCCACCACCCTCCCACCATTCCCCAACACCCTCCCACCATTTCCGAACCTCCCCTTCTGGCAATGCAAGGAGGCGGGTCACATGTGAGCCCCATCATACATCCACACGACTCCACCGAGCCCCAACATTGGCCCACCCACCATCCACCCCATTCATCATCACCCTCCCCCACCACCCACCACCCACCACCCACTCCGTTCCCCACCACCCACTTCGTTTCCCACCACCCACCACCCAGCCCTTTCCCTACCACCCCCCCCCCCCCCCCCCCAACATGCCTCTCGCTCACAGTGAGTGGCGGCGACATGCGTGTGAGGCCTATTGCCAGCTGCGCGCCGAATTTATGAGAGTGAGAGAATGAGGGGGAGGGGGGGAGGAACGAGGAAGGAGGAAGGCGGAAGGGGGAAGGGGGATGCGGAGGAGGGAAAAGGGGGAAGGGAGTTGGAACTTAGAAAAAGGGGATGAGGGATGGCGCTGCATTGACAAGGTAACCCCTTCTTCCAAGGCGCCTCAAAAAGGCCAACAGAGAGGAAAGGAGCCCGAGGATGGGGAAGCGGATGGGGGATGGGGAAACGGATGGGGGATGGGGAAACAGATGGGGGATGGTCCTGCATTGATACAAGAATGCAAGGACGAGAAGGGGGATGTGCGTGCCATCCACCACCAGGTAATCTCGGATGAGCAAAGGGGGACGGGGTAGCGGGGTGGGCCTGGTGGATGGAATGGGAGAGCAGAATAGAGGGATATGGAGATTGGGAAGCGGAATAAAGGGGTAAGGGAGGGGGGCAGATGAATTGAAGGGTAAGGAAAGGGGGGAGGGGAATAAAGGGGTAAGGGAAGGGGGGAGCAGAATAGAGGGGCACGAGAAGGGGGAAGCAGTATAGAGGGGTACCGGAGGGCGGGACGGAATAGACAGGTAAAGGAGGGGGGAACGGAGTAGAGGGATACAGGTCGGGGGAAGCGGGTGGAGAGAGGAGACAAAGGGGGAGGCGCGAGAGGGAGATTGAGCGTGCCTTGCTGACATAGGTGTCTATAACTCCAGCTTCCCCGCGCGATGAGCAGGGCATGCGGCGGAGGAGGAGCCAGACCCTGCCTTGCATGCCTTATCTTGGGCTCTAGCTTCGAACGACCTTTGCATCTCGCCACGTTATTCTGGTTGAATATCATCCATTTATCAAAACGAGTCGCGGATCGGGATCTTCTCTAGGTTTGTCTGTGTGCTAGGACTGTGCCTAAGGGCATGTAGCCAAAGGTTTTGAACGAAGTTCGGACCAAGTTCACCGCACTGTACTGCGTGATTGTCTAACCGACTAAATTCACTGTACCCCCCACTTTCGTTCGAACACCCCTGAATTCAAAACCGTTGGTTACACGCCCTAAGAGCGTATCCAACTTGCAGTTCTGCCATCCGCTGGCATCCGATCACATAATGAATCATAGCCGTTGTCATCCGTCCGTACGGGAAACATCGGACGAAACTCGTTTTGTCATACGCAGTCATCCGTTGTCAGAACACTTTGAACACGTTCTACGCACTGATTGCGGATTCTGGAAGGGATGCCAGAAGCAGGAGTTTTGCCACAAGGAAACAAAGCATCTGGAAGTTTGTATATCCAATAGAAAATGGGATTTCCAATATGACCATATGAAATAAAATTGTCTCATAACCTTCCAATCTGACAGATTCGCAGACCATGACGTGAATAATAACACAATATGTGTGTACTCGTGTAAATTAATTTCAAACTATATTGATATTGTAACTTGGTGTCTTTTGAGTTTACGCTTAGCGGTCTCCAAACACGTATCCTTTTGTCTTCCGTTATTTTCGGTGGGTGTGAAGAAAGTTGACTGGAAGCCACGGTCAACGGATTGTTGACTTGAATTCTTCGTGGCTTTGACTCGACGGTGGAAATGTCCATGTGGCTGCTGCTCGTTGGTGCAATGCGAGACGTACTGAGTCATCGTGCGGCGTGAACTCCATCGCGCGGCGCTTCAATCGCAACGTGGCAAGGGTACAAAATCCAGAAACTCTCCCGACATTTCATTCAACTCACATATCTGCAGCCTGAAAATGGTCGTAAGTTCTGAATCCACCTGGCACGCAAATCTTACCGCTAGAACCCTCGTACGTGGCAACTGGCTTACTCTTCATACTGAAAGTTTAAGTTGTAACGAGAGCAGACTCAGCACCATGGCGCACAGAGCCTCGTTACAACCCCTCAGCCAGCATCGTCGCCGTAGCCTGAGAACCTACCTTCTCCTCCTCTCCCTTGTCGTCATCTCGTCTCTCCACGCCACGTTGGCCTTTCGCATTTCCGCGGGGCTCCGCGCGGACAAGCTGCGCTGAATGATGTGCGGAAAGGCGCAAGGCGGACGCTCAACTGGACAGCAGCAGCAGCAGGGCGGCGGACTTGGCGAAGGACGTATAGGAGGTGGCGGAATGAGCAACAGCGTAACAGGTGGCGGTGGAATGGGCTGCGGCGGAATGGGTGGTGGCGTAATGGGCGGTGGCGGAATGGGTGGCGGCAGAATGGGAGGCGTCGGAACGGGCGGCAGCGGAATGGGCGGCGGCGGAATGGGCGGCAGCGGAATGGGCGGGGGCGGAATGGGAGGCGGCGGAATGGGCGTCGGCGGAATGGGCGGCTGCGGAATGGTTGGCGGCGGAATGGGCGGAGGCGGAATTGGCGGAGGCGGAATGGGCGGCGGCAGAATGGGCGGCGGCAGAATGGGTGGAGGTGGAATGTGCGGCGGCGGAATGGGAGGCGGTGGAATGGGCAACAGCGGAACAGGTGGCGGTGGAATGGGTGGCGGCGGAATGGGAGGTGTCGGAACGGGCGGCGGCGGAATGGGCGGCGTCAGAATGGGCGGCGGCTGAATGGGTGGCGGCGGAATGGGCGGAGGCGGAATGGGCGGAGGCGGAATGGGCGGAGGCGGAAGGGCGGAGGTGGAATGGGCAGAGGGGGAATGGGCGGAGACATGGGTGGTGGAACGGGAGGGCGTGGCTCGGGATCTTTTGCTCCAGGGTCGCAGGCAGCACCTGGAGGAATGGGCGGGCCTGGGGGGAGCATTGGGGGCGGCAGAATGGGTGGCAGAGGGATGGGCGGTGGAGGCATGGGTGGCGGAGGGATGGGCGGCGGAGGGATGGGTGGCGGAGGGATAGGCGGCGGAGGGATGGGCGGCAGAGGGATGGGTGGCGGAGGTATGGGCGGTGGAGGTATGGGCGGAGGAGGGATGGGCGGCATAGGCATGGGCGGAGGAGGGATGGGCGGCGGAGGGATGGGCGGTGGCGATTTGGGCAGCGGCGGAATGGGCGGCGGAGGTATGAATGGATCGGGGTCGTTTTCTCCAGGGCCGCAGGCAGCACCTGGACAGGGCGGATCTGGGATGAGTGGAGCGTTTGGAGGAAGTATGGGCGGACCCGGGGGCAGCATGAGCGGACCCGGGGGCAGCATGAGCGGACCCGGAGGCAGCATGGGCGGACCTGAGTCATCTGCTCCCGGAGCAAAAGCAGCCATGAGTCCTGGGGGGAGCATGGGCGGAGGCATGGATGGTGATATGGGCGGAGGCATGGATGGGGGCATGGGCGGAGGCATGGATCATTGAGGGGATGAGGAGAAGACACAGTGGGCGTAGTGATGTGATCATCACGTGCATCATCGCAGCGCTCGTCCCAGGACACCTTCACACACATTCATCCCTATCCTAGTTGGACTTTGGGTGCGGTAGAAGATTGGTTGCGGTATAAGCTTGGGTGGGGTAGAAGCTTGGTCGCAGCAGCACTCTTTACAATTGCTTGCAGAGTGCTGCTTCATCCAAGCTCCTGCGGACTCAGACGCGCTCTTTCCAAGTGCTGCTGCCCATCCTCCAGTTTCAGGAATTCCGTAGTTGGTTTAGGCTGTAGGATATGGAGGCTGGTACGGTGTGGTTCTGTATGTTCATTGATAATTTATGAGAGTTCGATTTCCACGTGTCTGCCATTGAACGGTGCCATGTGGAAGGGGTTGCGCTGTGCCACGACTGTTGCTCTGAACCAGGTTTGCCCTCCCTGTTTATGACTGCTGGTAGTGATGCTCAGCATTGGCAGAAAGGACGAGTGGAGTCGTTGGCATAAGTCACTCCATTTCTTCACGCTTCTCAATGGCTGTACCCCTGCTGTGCCCCTTGTTTCCCACTCAAGTGATTTCCATTGGCATCTCATCCCATGCCATTTCACTACGGATTACCACACAAGCCGAGTACAACAGGGTTTGCTAGTCGCTCCCAACTCTGGAAGACATCAACTAGCAAAGCCGAGTTCGGCATAGGCATTGCCCGCTCCTGTTCTCTACCCCCCACCCTTACCTCCACCGCCCTTCACCTCCTCCCTTTTCCGCGCTCTCCTCACACCCCTCCCTCCGACCCACTTGTTTCTTCCTCAACTTCCTCCTCCTCATCTACCCTTCATGTGGTTGCCAGTCACAAGAGCAGGGGCCAGCTGTCAACGGAACATCCATGCCGTGGCAGTATGTCCAGCAGGGATGGTGATATCTGACACAGCACCTCACACCCCGCCCTCAGGGACTCTCCTTGCTTGCACTTCCTTGACTTCCCAGCCTCGGTTCGCTTGAGCGAAGAGGGATATTGTCAGTGGCTTGTCAGCTGCTCACACCCCGCCTTCAGAACCACCCTGCCCAATTTCAGTCTTCCTTAGAGCACCCCCGCCTTGCCAGCCCTCACTTTTACGTCTCGGGCTCCTTTCGCTCGGAAGACGAGGGCAGTTATCAACAGAGCGCGAATACAGAGTCCGCATGGCTAGCAGGGATGGCGAGCACTGCCTTCGCACTTTTTGGGAATTCTTTTAAAAAAAAAAAAAAAAAAAAAAAAGCCCTCCTCCATGCCCACTCCTCAGAGACTCTCCTTACTTTCCCCTCCTCTAAATTTCAGCATCGGTTCGCTTGAGAGCAGAGGGCAGTTGTAAAGTGAGCATGCTTACAGCGTTGGTGCCTCCTCAGCGGCTCGCACCCCTCCTTAGGCACCACACTCTTGCTCAAGCTCCGTTTGGTCAATCCCCTCCTTCCTCTTGCGGCCCTTGGTGCGATTGTCAGTCACGAGTGCCGAGGGCGGTTGTCAACCGCACAGCCATGCAATGTTGGCATGACCAGCAGAGATGGCGGCAGCTCACTCAGCTGCTCACAGGCCTCCCTGTTTGCCCTCCCTTAAAGTCACAGCCAAGGAATCTTGAAGACTGGATAGCCTTGGACACCCACCAACATTTGGGCTCCGAGGCACTTTTTGCTGCCCGCACAACTGTGCAAAAGGTCAAGATCATTCAGCAGCAGCGAAGTGAGGAGCGAAAGCCCTCCACAGGTTTCTGGCAGCGCTATTATGCTCCTGACGTTGAGGATTGCAAGGGCTTGCAGATGTGGCACGACGAGAAATGGAGTCAGAGAGTGAAATCAGTGCATCCATTTCCGAAACTTGCAGCTCTGTCATTCCAAATACGCGACCAACCGACGGGCTGAGGGTTTCAAGGGGAAGATTGTTGATCAGAGAATCTGCAGGGACGGAAGAAGCATCCCTTCAAGGCTCAGCTCAAAACTGCTGCTGCTGCTGCTGCTGCTGCTGCTGCTGCTGCTGCTGCTGCTGCTGCTGCTGCCGTTGCCATCCAAGCTACACCTAATGCTACTTTTGCTCGTCTGCTGGTCCGCGGCTTCCTCCTCTTCATCCCCCAGACCCTGAGACCCCACACGCTCCCACCTCCACCACCCGCAGTTGCGGCAGCAAAGCCAGAGACGAGGAAGAGACTGCAGGCCGTTCAGATCTGAGATCTTCGGCTGCTGCAGTCGTCCGCACCTGGCAACTCTCAGCACCTGCAGCAGCAGCAGATGGCCAAAGGATGCCGGCAGGCGCATGAGCTGGGGAAGGCTGGCCAGGCCGAGGGACCGCAGAGCAGTGAGCTGGCGAGGCAGGTCGTGAGGGAGGGAGAGGACAGCTGGGAAGGCAGTGAGGGAGAGCTACTGGAGGGCAGCGACCCGAGTGATGGAATGAGGGGCTGCCCGATAAAGTGTTACAAACTGCTCGATATCATTGCGCAGCGTTGCAAGACTTGGGACAACCGGGTTGAGGGTCGTAAGTGAAGGTAGACGGGGGTAGGGACCTGGGCAGAGATGATAAAATTTCGGGGCCGTAAGGCCCTTTTCGGTGAAGCCCTTGGCGTATGTCATCTGGGAGATGTGAAGCCCTTGGCGCGGTCGATCTGAAGTCGAACCAGATTACGACAAGCGGGCCACGAGGGAGTGCAACGAGTCCGGGACGTGGCTCAGGCTGCCATCAGACGGAGCGAGCTTTCTGGGGTTTGAGAGCAGCGGCAGCTGCACGGCCAGCTGGGGAGGAACCACGCGGCGGCCCTCGCGTAGAAGGATGTGGTCCTGCGCGCCGCAATCGAGGCGACGCTATTGCTGCAGACGAACGCGGGCTCGAGCCGGCCGTCGGAACGAGCGACGCGATGCAGGATGTGGGAGAGCAGATCGTCCGTTAGACGCTGGATCGGCGACGCGTGTGGCACCGTGGGAGGAGCTGGAAGCAATTTGAAAGACACTAGCCAGGTTGATGATTCTCGGCTTATGGCGCGCGCCCTCAGATTATACGCAGTTGATTCCTCCTTACATATCACCTACTCTGCCCTGCTAGACCAACGATATACCTATCCCGCAAATCGGTGATACGAGGAGAAGGATAGATGGGATTCCTCACTGATCCAGCCTGCAGTCAATTCACAGTTCTCAAGTTCGCAACCTAAGCTCAAGGTTCACGCACATGATGGAGAGGAACTGAAATTGGGGTGTGGAAGCAATGAGGTTCCCGTTCGTTCTAGAGCGATAAGAAAGCTGAAAGATACGGTTGAGTAGGGAATTTGCAGAAAAAATGTGCCTTGAGCATGAGGAGTTCAGCAGGAGAACAAGCGGTTCAGGGTTTTGAATGAGAGACGTCTCGTTTGGATGCCTACTTTGCCCTGGTCTTGTGCTTGCTCAATCACATGCAAGCAGCCCTAGAATCCAGCAGTACAGAATCTCAAGAAGCTTCATCCTCCAAACTCGTTTTGCATTTGTGCTTCAAACTAGAACCAAAAGGTGTCCATCGCCACCCAATATCCCCTGCTGCCTGAACGTAACTTTCCTTCTAGCTAGCCTGCACACTCTGTGGGGAGTATGTTGAAATCAGCACCAGATCCTTGACCTTGGTGGAATACTCCAGCATAGTCTCCCTCTTTTCAGTCACAAACTCCGAGCTCTTCTCCATGAATTCGAGATAATCAGGAGACCCCGGATAGACGATGTTATCAGCCACAATGATAGTTCCTGGTCCGATGAGCTTCTGGTCTCTGAGAAAAAAGAGGTCTGGCAGGTAGAGGTGCTTCACGTGATCGATGAAGACTAGATCGAATGGAACCTTGCTCGCACCTTGCCGAATTTCATCTGTTGAAGTCTGCAGCGTGCCTGTAACGACAGTAACTTTGTCGCTGAGGCCTGCGTGAGCGACGACGCTGCGGACGACGGACGAACGGAGGTCGCTCAGCTCCACCGACACCAACCGAGCTCCCGGCTTCGAAAAGCGCGAAGCGATTCGAACCGCCGAGTACCCGCAGAACGCGCCGAGCTCGAGTGCGCTGAGGGGATTCGCGCGACGGACGGCGTCGTCTAAAATTGCACCTTTCACGTCGCCGACGTTCATGAAAAACTCCGGGCTGGACCACGCGTAGGAATCGATGGCGCTAATCACTGCTTGCGGGTCGTTCGCGGGGACTGTTTGGGTGATGTGCTCCAGAAGCCGAGCCTCCTGCCCGTCTGACTCCTGCCCCACCATCCTTTCCTCCTCGCGATTCACATAGGCTCCCTCAGGCATGGTAGACAACTATATATGTAGGCAAAAGAATTACGGGGGGGAAACGGAGAGCGGCACCCTGGAGGATGCAGCAGGGGTTGCCTCGCAGCTTCGCGTCTAACGCCTTCGAGAAGCAACTAAGACGAGACGGGTCAAAGAGAACGTTGACGTCATGCAAGCGAACGAGCGAGACTAGCGGGAAGCGGCGTCAGAGCGGGCTGATGAGGGACTGGGAAAATGGGGGGGGGGGGGAAGGAAGGGAGGGAGGGAGGGAGCAGGGGGCAACCAGAGTCCGTGCAGAAAGGCAAATGCTCACCTCCTTGGAACCAAGTGAGAATGTCCAGGATGCACCGTATGCGGTGTTGTATGGTGCAACGAGCTGGAAACCGGTTTTCACGATTCACCGCTTTGTAACCTTAGGTACCAGTTTCGACCGTGTAAAACGTATGGGCGACGTCCTCATAAGGTTACGGATGTTTGCTGCCCGGTCCAGTTATAGCGTGACGTTTCGCTGCCCGAGTAGACGCATTTGTGGCTGGCAGGAAACCCAAGCTCACTGACGTGGCAATCAGGGGACAGCAAAAAGAGGTGGTCTTGTGGCCTCCAACGCGCGTTGTCATCCCTCAATTGTCCCCCCGTGGTCAACAGACCAATCGTCACACAGGCTCCCCGAAGCTTGCTCCCAACTTTTTGCCAGCTGGGGGCCAACAGACCAATCCCATCACGCAAGGGCCACACCAAGAGCGCCAAGCGGCAACAATGCCATTCAGGAGTAACGAAGACTAGCCGTGCAGAACCGGCCATGCGAAAACAACCGTGCGGAATTCCCAAGGCGAAGCAGCTATGCACCAGCCGTGCGAAACTAGCCATGCGAAATTCCCAAGGATAAGCGGTCTGAACCTTCAACGTATGAAGCTGGTCTATGATGAGTACAAAATCGCAGCCTTCTTCACGTGAGTCCTGCGAGCAGCCCAGCCAACATGCCATGCCAGCAATTTCTTTCTGACTATCCATAGACACTTTATTTCCGCACTGATTTTCCGGCAAGATTTGCTTGAATTGAGGTTTGATCCCACGGACAGACGAACACCGCTCTGTGACGGAAATGGCGTCAATATGTGCGTCCCCGCCATTATCCGCTAATGCAATCTCGCGAACCATCACCGTAGCCTCCCATTCCAGGTCAGCAAAATGTTCATCTCCCTCTTTCAATCGCCGAATCCCATTGGCCTCCCTGCGGTCTTTCGCGACCTCATTCTCCGCTCGCCATGCGACGTCTCCAAGTCACCTAAGACTGAGCGACAGTACAGGATGCGGAATAGGCCGGCATTTCTCGCACCGAGCTCCCGATAGAAGGGGTGTGACTATAGTGAGGTCCCAGGAGGGTCGCAGCTACTCGCACCCGAAGTACAACTGGCGCTCGCGACGGAGATCCGACGGCGAGGATCTGACGAGCACGCGATTCCCGCGTGACGCGCCGAATGGTCGGCGAGAGGCGGGAAGCGGCGGAGAGTCGAGCGGGCACAGTCCCGGGTGGGGGTCGCCCGTGTGGCAGGCGGACAGCAGCAGTGGCGAGGAGGAGTCGGCTGGAATAGGCGCGATCGCTAAGGGGGATGCCACGAGAAAATCGTCGATTTCGCATATCCTTACACCTGATGGGAAGGCCTTTAGGTGAGCCGCGTTTGCATCACGCAGGCTCTTGCGATCTGGTCGCCTTGTCCTGTCACATCGAGCAGGTGATGTGAAGCGGCTGGAACTGGGAAGATTTTATTTTCTTCTCTTTTCTTTTCTTTTTCGGGTCAATGTGGATTCGAACATGGCAGGAGGAAAAGCCATCGCAGTCCTGGCGGGATCTGGTCGGTCCTCGTGCGATTAGGTTCTGCTGGGGTCATGGATGGGCTTGTAGGGTCATGGATGGGCTTGTAGGGTCATGGATGGGCTTGTAGGGTCATGGATGGGCTTGTAGGGTCATGGATGGGCTTGTAGGGTCATGGATGGGCTTGTAGGGTCATGGATGGGCTTGTAGGGTCATGGATGGGCTTGTAGGGTCATGGATGGGCTTGTCGAGTCGTCAGTAGCCACAACATGGATCGTTCTTCCAGACACACGCATTCTGACGCACGCTCTCTCGTGACGCATCCCAGATGTGTACATACTGTCTCCCTCCCCCCCACCTCCTCCCCCCCCCCCCATTACTAACCCGCACACGCACACGGCAGGCCGCATCGCATTATTCTGGTGCGACATGGGCAGAGCGAGGGCAATGTGGACGAGGCGGCGTACACGCGCATTCCCGACTCCAAGATCGCCCTCACCAGGAAGGTAGGAGTGAGCGGCCATATCTCACATCCCGCATTGCCCTTATTCATAGGACAAAACTA